CGGATAGATAGATAGATAGATGGATGGATAGATAGATAGATAGATATAGATAGATATTTGATATTTAGACAATAGATAGATATATAGATAGATAGATGGATAGATATTTGATATTTAGATGGATAGATAGATAGATGATCGATAGATAGATGGATATTTGATATTTAGACGGATAGATAGATATTTGATATTTAGACAGATAGATAGATAGATAGATATTTGATATTTAGACAGATAGATAGATAGATAGATAGATAGATATTTGATATTTAGACGGATAGATAGATAGATATTCAGATGATAGATAGATAGATATTTGATATTTAGATAGATAGATAGATAGATAGATATATATTCAGATGATAGATAGATAGATATTTGATATTTAGACGGATAGATAGATATTTGATATTTAGACGGATAGATAGATAGATATTTGATATTTAGATAGATAGATAGATAGATAGATATATATTCAGATGATAGATAGATAGATATTTGATATTTAGACGGATAGATAGATAGATATTTGATATTTAGATATATAGATGGATAGATATAGATATTCAGATAGATATTTGATATTTAGATGGATAGTTTCCAAACACTTTTCACAAAGTCTGAATAATGTGAGTAAACAGAATCAGAGATCAAACAGAAATCATATTTGTACATATTTGCATACTATGAAGAGACTGTCAACCTCTCTGTTCTTGTCTGATTTGAGGGAGAAAACCGGTGCATTGTATTTCAAATCACACAGCCAATATTCACAGCCCATCCTATTAGAAATATCAAATATGCTTCTCAGTGAACAATAGCTGCAATCAAATCAGAGTTCCTATAATCAACAGATGCCGCAATACACACCATGACTGACTCGCTCGTGTCTTAATCACTATGGTGACCAGATGAACCATGACTATCAGAAACATTCACATCCACTGCATTCACAATGACACGATGATGGTGAAACTTCACAAATATACTATTAAAATCACGGTTCAACTTGTTCAGTTTGAGTCCAAATTGACTGTAGAAGACAAAAAACACTTGGAAATTTATCATGCATTTTCTCTGGCTCTGTTTGGTCAATCACTGCTGCATTATTGATTTCGTGGATCTTAAAACATTCAGACAAAATGCAAAAGAGTTAACGGCACTTGGTGCATCGGAATAAACCTTATGAAGGAACTGAAAAACTGGAAAGCTGGCTTCCCAGAGGCCATTTTTCCTTGTTTAAAATGCATCGCCAATGACTGTGCAGGAATAATTGGCGCCTCGGAACTTGGATCCTCTTGAATAGGAAAAATCAATGTGGCCTTTGAAACATAACAGACCGAATGCTCTTTGTTAACCTGATGTCTGATCGTCCCAATACTGGATGACGCACAAACACTAGACGTTCCTGAGGGGATGATTACAATCGATCTGATTTCACCAAGTGTTGCTGGATCAACAGCGTTTGTTGGTGAAGGAACAAACATTTTAGTGAAACAAACACAGTTCAAAGCCAAACCCCAAACCATTAACTACCGCTACAATCAGAGGAAGATGTTTAGATAGATAGATAGATAGATAGATAGATAGATATTCAATATTCAGATAGATAGATATTCAATAGATAAATATTCAATATTCAGATAGATATAGATATTCAATATTCAGATAGATGGATATAGATATTCAATATTCAGATAGATAGATGATAGATAGATATTCAATATTCAGATAGATAGATAGATGATAGACAGATAGATAG